ACAGATGTTCGCCCACCGGCTGCCGTCTTGTGCAAGAAATGATGTTCGCGACGACCATTCTAGCATCCTTGTGATGAGACCAGTGCCATTTTTTGCTCCTAATCGCCACTTCATACGCCCCCAGTAGCTGGTCATGCAGGTCGACTCCGCCCATGCCCATGTTGTAGCTTTTCAGAACCTTGGGCTGCGGTATTGGGAGACGTTTTCTGGCCGAACGATCGTAGCGGATCGTTGAAGTGGGCGGGTCGGCTGAGTCGTAGTTTGTCATGGCGTTGACCACCTTGTTGTCATGCCATCTGACCAGCAGCACTTCCCATGCCCGATCGAACTTTTGTTCGTAGCTGCCACGCGTTGACTTAGCCATGTCCTTCTTCGGGGTCACGGGGCTTTTATCGAGCCTATTGTCTCGAACGGTGCCTGTCACACGGATGCCGCGGTCTTTGGGCTGCGCGAGGAGACTTCTTGAGGTGAAAAAATTATCGAAAAACACCTCATGACCGCTGAGGTCCGACAACGCGCTCAACATGTCCATCACCACCCTTGTGCCCAGCGACTGGTCGCGTAGTTCAGGACGCTCCTCTTTGCCACAGTAGAGGTCAAATGTGTGACAGCATCCGCCACTGCCACAAACGCCCAGAGCTTGTAGCCGAACGTATCGGCTTTTCACGAATGAATTGTTTAAGCTGTTGTGACCGTAGTACCTTACGATCATCTCGTCTATGGCTAGTTTGGACTGAAGATGCCGAACTGCTGAAAGGACTTGATAATTTCCATGAGTGAACGGACCTTAAAGCCGCGATCTTTGGTATGGTTTGCTTGTTGTTGTCTTTGACGTGCAGGCATGCCTTTATTTTCAGATATTCAGGTCTCGTCATCGCTTGACGGACGATGGGACGTGGGAGGTCATCATCCTTCGACCAGAACATCCGTTCAGATGGTAGGGGATTGTACCCAGGGTAGAGTAGTATACCGATGAACGCTTTCAGTTCGAGGCCAGAGAGAATAGCTGGTCGTTATTCACATCTCTCTCTGCAGTGTTTCCAGCTGAATTAGGTGAAACACTTCAGGTATGAGCACTTTCTCAAAATATCCACAGCTGTACTACCACCCAGCATTGGCTATTATTTCCCGCGCCTCTTGTGTGTGTGTCTGATGTTCCTTGCCAACCAGTGCACTGCGGTTGCGTGTCACGCCACGTCGGTGCGGTTTTTTCCGATCGTCGTTTTTTGGCCGGCTGCGACAGGGTGTCCTCAGTTACCGGCTCCTGGTAATGTACCTCCACCACGCCTGGACATGTGCTGTACCCAGGTGTTCATCGTCACCTTCATCCTCGTCGCTGCCGTCGGGCGGAATATTTACGATATCGTTATCACCATCAACCGAATCGAGATCGTTCATCACCATGACCTTTGCTTCCTCCACTGTTAAATATCGCACCCGCGGCATAGCGATTGAGCTAAGTCTATGCAGTTGGACGCATAGATTACCGGCTCACTTATCACACAATCGCACTGAGACCTGCCAAGAAACTAACCGGCACCAATCCGTCTGGAGTCGCCGCCGGGCGCCGGGTCTCCCCTCGGCCGCCCGCAGCTGGGGGGCGCGTAGGAGCTGACCACACTTCCGGCGAGTCAAAATTGGTCGATCAAAATTTCACGCCGGCTGCACGCTACCGATGTTGAATAAGAGTAATTTTTCAACGGGGTTAGTGAAAATGTACATTTGACTACTCTGAATTGTGATTCCTATCTCGGTATGTTGACACAGCAAAAATAATGCTCCTTCATTGTACGCAAGACATGCCATCAAAAACTCGCCAAATTTAAAGCCCAGACGACTAATGAGACGACACCGTTAGCCGCCCACACCCATCTGCTTATATTTACCCAACCCTCCTCATCCATCGGGAGGGGTAACAGACCCTCTCGGGCGAAACTAGCCAACCGTGGAGCCCTCCAAAGCCATCGTCCATTGTTGACTCGCCGGGCGGTAATAGGTTAATCCCATGCCAATATTATGGGATGGGCTTATGGAGCTTTCATGCAAAGATCCTATGGGTTTTATACGATTTCTAAATTTTGCACAATAGGATTTGCCGACGCCACCCCCTGCTGTTTCCAAACTAAGAAAGATGTTTCCAGCAGAAAACAACCACTGGATTGGTCCCAACGAGATCTCGAGATTGGTAATAGGTTTGTGGTTGTGCGTCAATACGTGACCCCAATCTGCCGGGACAATGGTAAAATTTTCCCGAAAATCGGGCTTTTTCAGTTTTACATGCTCACGTGTACGATACCACGCCTTGTAGCCAACGAAACCTAACCAGGCGTGTTCCTTGTTAAGAAGTTCCGGGTACAATGGTGTAAAATAGTTAATATATTTTAAGCATATATCTATAATGCATGGTTCTGCCCGCCGAGCCATACATCCATGTTGGCCCACCGCGAGCGTTCCGGGGCATCGTCGGTTGCCGTCCGCCGCCCGCACAGGCCGTAAATCGCCGTGCGGTGTTCCTCGAAAACTCCCGCTCCTCCGAAACCAGAAATGCTGACGGTTTTTGTGTGAAACATATTCGATGGCTGCCCCACAGGCTACTAAAAATTTGGGCGCGATTACATGACGTGCCAGAGAGGTGTCAGAGTGGGTCTAGGCGTAGGAACGTTTCAAAAAGTGGGGGGGGGGGGGGCATGCTCAGGGTGTATTCAGGAACTTTTTCCGGGAAGCGAGTCCGATGACCGGGGGGGGGGGGGGGGGAGGTAGAGATGGAGGTTTGTTATCGCTCTTTATTCATATGTTCATATGTCATGCCTGCTATGCTAGATATGCATGTAGAGCTGTTAATCACTGGCGCACTGGTGTTAATTCTGCCTATTCCAATCATCTGTCATTTGGCAAATAAGGCTATCCAGCTTCCCTAGATCATTCGTCCTTTTTAGCGTTGTCTTTCCTGGGGAGGCGAAATTCCACGAGCGGATAGGTATTTGACATCATAAAGAAACCATCTGCCTCCACAGTATACATGCCAAAAGACGGCCTGGATATAGGCTGGTGATAATTTTGAAAGTGGATCCATGGCTCACACTGCGACAAATCTGTCATGCGTCTTCATTTCGTTGGCTGCTTTTCAAGAGATACAACTTTTCGCAGCATTTCAGGCGGAAACAAATTCGGACTAGCGCTACAAGTGCTACAAACAACATGACAAAAGCCACGAAACTGGAAATTGTCTTTTAAGAATCACGCCACATAATAAGGCCAATCTGTCATATGTTCCTTATCTGGGCCCTGCTCCTGTCCGCCGTCGATGGCCACTGCCTTTGCCCGGATATATCCCGCATAACTGACTGCGAACTGATCGTATGGATGCTTTGTTGAATATTTTTGGACCAGCGTTGCTACTACATGGTGTATGAAACACGTCTTGGACACCTGCAACAGTATCTTTTTCCGAATTATCTTTCCTCACACCACACTATCGCAAGAAAATAGCCTCCGGGAAGCCGTCTGCCTTAGGTAGGAATTGGCCCAACGTACGCTTCATTGCCCATCATGCGACGCATACGATTTGATCTGCTTTTGTGTGTAGGCAGGGGTGCAGTCAGAGCCTTGCCAAGGGGGAACGCAAGGTTGACAAAAGCCCATCTTATGATGATCCCCCCCCCAAAAAAAATATTCCCGGATGTGGCTTAGCTGTTAACAGGTGACACGGTTTTCTTCGTTTTATTGTTATTTTTACTTTGTAACCAGGACAGAAGCCAGGAGCTACCGTGAGTTCAGTTCTGTCTGTATTTTGAGGTCAGTCAAGTGCAGAAATCAAGCGTTGAACGACTGCATGGAAGAAATCACCGGCACTGTTTCTAAACTGATAAAATTCAGAAGCTTTGTCAATTTTTTAAACTGGGTTCTACAGACATTGAGGACATCGCAAAGGTAGATTGCAGATCGATATGTGTGATCCAAACTTGAAAATGGAAATTTCATTACAGAACGAGTGGTCAACAAAATGTCTTAACATGGCCAAGCCACGTTTGTCCGAATATTTTCACCAGCCAGAATCGATTAGTGATACAATTTATGTCACGTGTTACGCCGGCTCCATAGTCCGCGGTACGTCAGCCCAGTAGCCAATATCTGGTCGTGGTCCACCGGTGAACGAAAATAATGACGCTTCTGAAATGATTATTTTTAAACGCGTAAATCGACTAGCAACGCAAGTTACGTGATGCAATTTTTAGCATGCGCACTCGAAAATTTTAGAAACACAAGCCTCGACCCCACGCATTGCAGTCTTCGTGGGTCGCACAGCGTCGGCCTAGCAGCTAGTATTAAGTTGTAGTCAACGGGTGTACGAATTGACGACGTTTCCGAAAATATCCTCGGACGCTGCATGACATCAGATGTTGCATTTATAAGGCAGTCTGAGCGCATATTTCACGTGCGCAATTCTTAGACCGATGAACAGAACGGATTGGCCCTTAATACGCGCTCGGGTGGCCGGCTAGATACCCTTCGCTCGGGTGAGCGTCAATTTGACCTCCCCTGAGATCTCGGGAACTAAGAAAGCTAGAGACACTAAGTTTACAGGGTGTGTTGAACTGTACGCGAACTATCTTAGGTCAAAGTTTCAGGTTCCTAGGTCAAAGGTTCCTAGGTCAGGTTCCTAGGTCACCTTCGGGTCAAAAAAGGTCAACAAGGTTCAAGTCCCAGGTTGGTCTCTAAAGTGCCCCCAGAACCTAGGAAACCGTTTCTAAGCAAAGGGTCACTTGTTCATTCAAGGCCAGTAACGTTTGACCTTTTGAAGATCAAGGCGACTTAGAGCATGCGAGATTGCTTTGAGTTTTGCACTTTGACTGAGCGATAAAAATTACGCTAGGCAGTATGTTCCTAAAACAAAATGTTGACCGGGGTCATTTAAGGTCAATGACCTATTCTGACCTCTAAGAAGTCCATGGAAGATGTGTAATGCTGTTCCTGCTATCAATGAATTCGAAATTGGCACCAGAAACTATCCCATACAGCAAGCCCTAGAGTAACAAAATAGGTTGGCTTTCCCCTTGGTGTCCCCTTTATACCTGACCTTAGGTCAATGTTATTTGCTCATTTAACTGTTGTGTTGCCTAAGAAAGCATCTTAGAGATGTATGGCTTCGTCTAACACCCCGTTGTTAGATTAGGTTGAAGGATCCCTTAGAAATTGCCTTCGCTGAAACCATCGCCTGACTTTAACCTGCCGTAGGTCAGCGGCCTTTCAAACCTAAATTTTTGGTGCCAAACGATCTACTATTCAATTGTCTACAGCTATGCAAAATTTGGCGCGGCTACGCCGCGCCGTTCGGAAACCATTCTGGAAAAACCTTGGGGGGGGGGGGTCAATTTGACCCCACCCGAGCGCGTGTTAAAGCACCGCAAAGTGGGGCTGGGATCTGTTGGTTGAACTGGAAGAATGGACGTAAAATCTCTATTTTTCGCGTTTTCACAGCTAGTTATCTGTCCAGAAGATAGATAAACACGGCGCCCGCCGTCTGGTGGCACTTACAGTGGCCGAAACTTTTCGGTTTTACGGAGGTTGCAACCCAGACCATCCTTGTCCCTGCTCTCGCAGTTGCGGGCGGGCACGTTCAAGCCTTTTGATGTAATTTGTTTCAACAATACATTCTGAAAAAAATAAACGTTCTTAGGCAAACATGATGAGAGCTCCACTCTACTCAACAATAATGAGATTCCTTATTTCCTTCCGGGCAAGGGCTCTTGAATAGAACACCAGGGGTACATTACCGTCTCCAGTCAAGGGCTGAAGGGCCATTCCGTCCCATCGCGAAGCGTCTCCTGGTCGATCCGGAGGCCATTAGAAGGATATATCATCACATTGCTCTCACCCCTGACACCGGAGGCCTTCTGACCGCGCGGTAGCCCACGAATCAGCACAGGAACCCTCACTGACACAACATCCCCGATCACCGCAGGTAGTCCGGTATGGTCACATAGACTCCAGTTCCGTGTTTTCTGGTTCTTCAGAGATATTGGGTTCTCCCTGAATGTAGATTGGAGATGAAATGGTGTTTATAATTTGTATAGAAAATGGCTAACCATGTTCGTCTTAAAATGCTCAAGATCCTGTCAGGGCTGATTACTGATAAGAAACTGTGTAATATCGGTTGAACATCCATGCTCGCAAATGACCGCAAACAACCAGTCTCGACGCCCGGCGTTGCAGTCTCAGGCCGTGCGGCATCTGCCTTGGGCTGTGACACTAAGCTATAGCCAATGAGCAAGCGAAAAAGATGACGAATCTTAAGGGAGAGGGGTGGTGAGCTAGGTAATCGGCATGCATATCTAATGTAGTGCAAAAGTAAGCCAATTGCAACCTCATCTGAAAAGGGGGAGCCAGTTAACGTTACTGGTCCCACCTTGAAAGGTGTGTGTGTGTGTGGGGGGGGGGGATATGGCCCCTTCCCCCTGTTCCTACGCCCGTGAGAGTGGGTAGCATCGAGACTCCCCGGCCTATCAGAGCAAGGGTTTGGTTGCGCCCCTGACTAAAATCCCTCCTAATTTTCTAAAAATGCGCGCGGCTTGAAAGAGATCAGCGAAAAAGACCATTGGTCTTCCGCTTTGCTAGACATCCATGCTGCGGCCGACAGGCCATGCTCTTGCACTCTTTTCAGGGGAATAAATGTTCGCGACGATTTAAGGTACAAGTACGTGACGTCCTGAGTGCGATGGAGCTTCCAAATTGCTACCATTTAAGGGATTGGAAAATAGTTACAGCCTTGGTGCGAAGATGTGGCGCAGAAAATAGAAGGCGTTTGTTTGGCTCTGGAATTGTCGTTACCGGGCATTTCCTGTGGAATTTGTTGCGATTGAGTCGGATGACCCTCCCGATCCGATTCAAGTTCTTGAATCGTGCTGTGTTGCCTTGCGCCATTTGTGTGTACATCTTATTGAATCGGTTGGTGACTTACAAACTGCTGGGGTGAGAATAGCGTTGTATTTGCACGAAATGATCTTCCCCGTGCGCTTTGTTCACATCTCATTTCAGCGTGTGTATACCTGTTTAGTGCTGACAAGTTCAAGGTGTGAATATACTTTTATGTAGAGTATTTCAAACACTGGCTGTGATCACATAGTTGCCTTTATACATTCAATTGTTATATACTTTCCATGTCAGTGTTATGTTGACTAAATATTGCAGTGTTCACATGATCATTCTACATGTTTATAAAACTTATTCCAAAAAAATAGATGGATGTGATCAGATAGCAAGCAATGTTTGCTGTGTGAATCCTGACCGACCAAGGCAGGGCCCAGGCACTTTTAAATGCCGGCTTGTGGGAACAATTTGCAGCAAAGTCAAACCTGCTGTGATGCTCTGCATCCAGACCACAAGAATGCATGTTGCATTAAACTTACTGTGTAACAGCAGCGTGGTACCAGTATTTTACTGCATGAATGTGGATGTTAAGTGCTGGGGAGCTTGGTGTATGGCTGGCATCAGTTGTTAGAGTGGAGTCAGTGGTTCAGGAACTTGCGGTGTTACAAGCATTATTTTGTACAAAAATATTCTGATAGTATTTGTGTTCATTGTTATAATTCATTTGTGGAAATATTGTCAGTACAGCATGTAAGCTAGCACCAAAGACAGTGTATTGACATAGAAGTGTTCCATCAATGTGTAACATGATATTGTCACAGCACTCCAAAATCCGTCTGGTAGGTTGTGCGTGATGTAATATAATCATGCTACTAGAACTCTGGCTCTCCAGCAGTCCAGGACACACATTAGCCATAATCTGTTAGCCCCGATAAATTATGAACTGCATACATTTAAATAGGCTTAGTTGGCATGAAGCTATCCCACTTCTGATAAATTATATGCAGTGTCATGTTGATATAATTTATGAACTGGCCTTTCAATTTCTGTCAGGGGATCTGAGCTGTTCCATGTACAAATCTTGGTATGCTAAGCAATACATTGATTTCAGAGTTGTGGGATGTGGATTGAGGTGTATCCCATCATGCAAATACATCCACACACTGCCAGTCAGTCGTGCCAGTCTGTGGGCATGTACTTTGTCAGTGGCCAGAGCTCCACATAAATGGCTTAGTAGTTGCAGTGAATCAGGTGATAAGACATCAGCAGGAACCCAGCCCCCTCCTTATTTTAATGGCAGGTATCATGCATGAAGAAGCAGGAACCCAGCCCACTCCTTGTTTTAATGGCAGGTATCATGCATGAAGGGACCAGCCTGTGTAGTGATTGGACACAGGA